TACACTATCATTGGAGAGAGGTTTTCCACAACCGGGGAGGTGAAGACTCCAACCCCCAGAATCCCCCACCCGGCGGGGCTGGTGGGGAAATTCTGGGAGTTGGAGTCTACACATCCAAGGTTGAGGAACACTTCTCTCAAATGATGGTGAACCTGTCCTGGCCCTGCACGTTTGGGGTTCCCTTCTTCCCTCTGCTCACCTTTGACCACAGAGATGTTTCTGGACTGCATGTCTTCATAATCGTTGGTGATTTTCAGCTTGCATGTGTAGACGCCCTCATCGCTGGTGGTGAAGCCGTTGAGATACAGACACACGAGGCTGTCGGTGGTCGTGATGTTGGTGCGAGACTTATACACAGCACTTGCCACTTTGACGTTGCCAGCGATGACCGTCCCCTCCCCAGTGTCCTTGGACAGGCGGAACTCGTAGCTCAGGGGGTTAGAGGTTTTCCGCTCATAGGCACAGTCTATCCGCAGGGCTTGATCGGTCAAGCAAGCTGTCAATCTTTTGATTCGCTGGCAGTGGCTGACTTGGACCACTAAGGGAGGTAAAGATGGCTGTCATCAGCCTGGGTTGAGTGCATGGTTGGACGGCCGCAACATTGCCCCCAACCCCTGGTTAATTAACCCTCTGACTACATTCAAGGGCTAAAACAACTGTAATCAAAGGATGATTCGTCACTTGGCTAGCATTGATGTGTTAAACCCCCTTTTAAGAATTGCTTAAAGGAAATCAGAGGCAACCTTGATTAAATGAGGCCATACTTTAAAAAAAACCCACCAATAATTATGTACTCATACCAATAGTAAATTGAAGACTTTAATAAATTAAGAGTCATTTTCCCATTACTCTTAAAGGGGAAAGGCACATCTGTGCACATTCATGCATACATGATATCTCCTAAGAAGAGGAGATAACACACCTTTCCCCTTGTTCAAAGGTCCAAGTCATGTGCAGATCTAATCAATCAGAACCCCTTCACTGACTGATGTGGGATTTCCTAATTTCCATGCAAGTGGAAAGTCCATAGTTTTTTTTTTTTTTTAAAGGTAAAGTCTCTGTGAAGCTCAATTCCTAGCAGAAGGAGCTAAGGTGATGGGAAAGCATTGCCTTTCCCATCATAACCCTCAGGTGGGGGATGATGAAAGCTTTCGTCCAGATGCAGAGCATGAAAGGCCAAAAATATTAGACCACGCAGAGAAAGGCGGCTTCTGGAACAGGCAGGTCAAGTCATAGACACAGCGTGCAAAAAAAAAAATGACAGGGAGCAAAGCATGACTGCTGGGGGGGTGATTTTCCTGATTCCCCCCCACCAAAACAGTTTAGAAATGAGCTCCAGCCCCAAAATCTAACAGGTAAACCTTCCTCGTTTAAATCTTTATTCAAAGCGGGGGGAGAGAAGTTGGAAAAAAGAAAGGAAATGCTGAGTATACGCTTCCAGATCGGATGCAAAGTGGAGTAGTAGGAACAAACAGGTCTCTTCAACAGGACCACTGTTCACGCACCACACCAGGTCTTCAACACAGAGATAGAATTGGGTGACTATGGCTAAAAAGGTCATTTTCTCGAATTTGGCATGCTTTTGTTCAGACCGGTGTTTCTCAACCTTGGCCACTTTAAGATGGCTGGACTTCCACTCCCAGAATTCCCCAGCC